CTAAAACTCCACTGACACCCTGCTCCAAGACTGATTTCAACGTGGCTGAAATGTACCATATTTGCTCCAACTCACAGAGATTGCACTAGCCAAGAAGTCAGGAAAAAATACAGAACCCATCAAGAAACACGCACATTTTATTGTATATTGTATTTACAAAATTAGGATATCATGAAAACCCTAATGTCTGAATGCTCTGAAACAACCTGTACACTATCAGTTTCTCATAGTCTAACTTGGCTGTCCCTATATGATTGTGCAAAAAAGTAATTCCACCTCACCAAAGACCTTTTCCTTGGCACATCAAAGAAGGCCCTTCACCTTAAAGCGCTTCCTGTCTAAAGGAGTTGTGCAAAGCGTATTTGTATATGGGTGATTGTGAACTCTGAACAATTTCCCAAACACTTCAAACTTCCCTGACTAGCCTAGACCAGTGGCTATGACAGTATAGAGCTCTAGTGCAAAGCCACTCCTTAGTCAGCAAGAGAATTAAACAATTCAAGAACCAGGCCATGGAGGATTGGGAGTGGTTAGATGGATCTCTAAAACAGATCTCTTTATGATGTCAAATGGTTAGAGAATAAGTATACGAGTCAACAGTGTAAGCACATATCACTTAAAGTAAATAAAGAATTTCTTTGTCTTCTCTACCAATTGTTTTTTTTTAAATCCATAGCTCCTAATTTCAAATTACAACATATTACATCCTCCTCTTACTACTTTTTTTAATTCGCCCACTGAATATACCATAGAACTGCAGACCAAAAAAAAAGGAATTTAATTCAGTTCTATGGTAGTGAATTGACTTTATTAGCTGCCAAATCAACTTGGTTTGCATGCTAGGATGCACAAGACACAAATATTTCTTCTTTTCGTTGAGGTTTCTTCTGATGTTACACGCCAATACCAAAAGTTGCCTCAAACTCCAAGTGTGTGAGCTAAGGCCTTTCCAGTACATACTCCTAAGGACCATTTAAAAATATGAAAGAAAGAGAAAAATGAAAAACAGAAATTGGCAAATATAACCCCATCTGAATTTGCCATGCAACAATAAAAAAAGAAAGGAAACTAGTCATTTCTATCTTTGTCAGAAGTGAATTCAAAGCATCACAAAGAGAGTACAAAAATTTTAACTATATTAAGACTCAATTGAAAATAATACTGTTAAGCAGTTACTAAGGCACAAGCTTTCAATGTACACAAGCATGAAATAGCCTCTCTGTTTTAATACACCCCATTTAACTCTAGGAAAGTCATTAGACCATGGAGTTTATTTTTTGTTTTCAATCAACTTGAAACACAATGTTCAGATTAATAAATTTATGACTTTTTAAACTTAAACCTAACCTTTCAAAAACTTTTGAGCACCTCTTGCACTTAATGTCAGCTGCAACCTAAATTTATAGCATTTCTTTTAAACATTTTGAATAAAAAGCTTGTCTCCGCTTGAACGAGTTTGGTAAAAGTTCGACACTGATGGTTGCCACCTTCTGATATAGGGCAAAATTCTCCAATTGCCAAGTGCCCTGAACTGCAACTTCAATCAGCCTTAGTACAATGCTGTTTATAATACCACATTGATGAAAATAAACACTACTAAGAAAGAGAAAGAGGTTTCAGGTGGAGTCAAGATGGCACGTGAGGACTTCTGTTGACACAAGGAATTAATCCCACAATAATCAGAGTCATCAAAAGGTATAACCAACCAACCTGGGGCACAGGTGTGGGTTACCAAGTGTGGGCATTCCCCCCATTGAAAATGCTCAGTGGAACTAATGATGTAAAATCCCATTTAATTAGTTAACCGAACCAGTTAAACATTATATTTAACCCGCTAACCAATTAAACAGGGCAGGTGCGGGCACCGCTCCAATTCAGCTGTGCTGGAGCAGCTCCCCCTTCCCCCCGCCCCGCCACCGCACCCTGGCTGGGCCCACCACAGCAGGGGCTGGTCCAGCAGGGCTGGAGTGCCCCCTATATCCAGAGTAACCCCTGGCCTGCAGAGCGCTGAGGGCTGCTCCAGCCCCCACCAGTTAACCATTCATGTTCCTGGTGTAAACTCAGCTGACATTCCTAATATGGCCATGGTATTTACCTCAGTGTGAGCTGACCAAGTGTCTGCCTTTTATAGTAACTTGCTTGGAAACAGAGGGTCCTTGTTAGAATGCTTAGACCAGTGTTTCTCAACCTTTTTTCTTTCTTTTTTTTTTAAAGTACCCCTTTTAAAAAAATTATAAGTACCCCTTTTTCAACAACAACAACAAAAATTATAAGTACCCTCAGTACCTACAGTTTTCAGACTCACATTTTTTCTACCATTGCAACACATTTGTTTAAACAACTTAATCGTAGCCAGGCAGGCAATGAAACTTTTGGGTGTAAAAAGTACAAAATTAATGAAGCGCTGAAAAACTTAAAACAGAAATTCAGTTTTCTCCACATTTCAGTTGTATTGATGTATCCCCCAGATATCTGGTTGAGAAACACTGGCTTAGACCAATTACTTGCTAGTAATTTTTTTTCCAGCAACACAACAGAGGAAAGAGTTGCATTGGTGTGCTCAAAGGCATGTAAAATGTCTTTTCATGCATCTTTGATTTCATGACATGAAAATACTGCCATTGTGCACAGAAATTAGCTGAACATTTAAGATCTTTCTCCCCAAACTGGTCCTATTGATTCTCTGAAAGGGCCCTCTCCAAAATGATTAGAAGTTCTTCTGAATCTGACCTCCACTTTCTCCTCAAGAAAAATCAACAGAGGAACATTCCTTGGTAATGAACAATTTTCTTGGAAAACACTCCCATTCCTTTGATAGTGGGCA